TCAGAATTCTAAGATATTCTTCTAAAAAGAAATAATTATCAAATAAATAAATAAATAAATATATATATACAGGATGTCCCATTTTAATCCGGCCGGCTGAATAAAATTCGAGGATGATATTTTCCAGAAAAAAATGTCAGACAAATGTTGTTCAGTTCTAAGGGGGACATTCGATGCCATCAACAATTTTGACCTCGGGTGAAGGGTTCAAGATCATTCAAGGTCAACTTTTTTTTCTTAAATGGGAACCCCTATTTTTCACATCGGCAATCGATTCTACGTAAAAAAAAATGAAACTTTTGTCTGAAGCATATTTTTTTATAACGCAAACTAATTTCACTTATTCAGCCTCCAAAATTGAAAATTTCAAACTTTCTGAATTTTTTACTCGAGAATGGTGGGGTTTGGGGGGAAATTGCAGAAGACAAAAAGTTCTTGAAATGCTGCAAGGAATTCACTCGAATTTTCGCATAGTTGATCGTGCACTTTTTTCGAGGTACCTCCTGACAGGTAGAACATTGGCGGAAAAAAATGCACGATCAACTATGCGAAAATTCGAGTGAATTTCTTGCAGCATTCCAAGAACTTTTTGTCTTCTGCAATTTCCCCCCAAACCCCACTATTCTCGAGTAAAAAATCAGAAAGTTTGAAAATTTCAATTTTGGAGGCTGAATAAGTGAAATTAGTTTGCGTTATAAAAAAGATGCTTCAGACAAAAGTTTCATTTTTTTTCACGTAGAATCGATTGCCGATGTGAAAAATAGGTGTTCCCATTTAAGAAAAAAAAGTTGACCTTGAATGATCTTGAACCCTTCACCCGAGGTCAAAATTGTTGATGGCATCGAATGTCCCCCTTAGAACTGAGCAACATTTGTCTGACATTTTTTTCTGGAAAATATCATCCTCGAATTTTATTCAGCCGGCCGGATTAAAATGGGACACCCTATATATATATTTATAAAATATAAATATAATAATAAATAAATATATATATATTTATTTATAATATATATTTATATATATTTATATAACTCCAAAATCTTAGGTAACGTAATAACAATCTATTATCATTTTGTTTAGCGTGATTAAGAATGACAGAACGGAATATTAGTGTTCAATAAATAGAGATAAATAAAATTTACGCGGCTATCCGATTGTGGGCGGCATATCTGGAGAGATAAATAATATATCCTGCTAAGAAGAAATATTGATGCATGAACAATAGGACTATTATCGTGGCGAAGAAAATGTATTATTGTATATCTTCGAGAAGTTACACTATATATATATATATATATATATATATATATATAGTGTAACTTCTCGAATATACTCTCGATAATACTTTTTTATCCAAACAATGGATAATATCATTATTTTTAGTGAATGGGAATGCATTAATGAAATTCTACAAACAACGAGTTACAACTAATATGAAAAAACGCGACTGTATCAGTACTTATTTGATATGGTGTTTTGATAATCGTGTTATTAATATTTTTATATTGGAATTTATCATTCATTTTGATTTAACATCATATTCGGCATTTTCTTAAAAGTAGATTCTATCAAAAAAGCTTTCAATTTTTGTTCTTTTGCGTCAATTACTTCAATTTGTTAATTTTCACATTTTTTATTTCCGCTATTTCCAGATAAAACCCAGAACATAAAATGAACATCGATGATCCAAGCATCCGATCCAAATAAATCAATTATCAATAAGTCAATTATGTAACTGTGCCAACTAGCAGAAGCTCTAAAATATATATTAGACAACGTAACAACGGTCTGTTATTATTTTATCGAGCATAATTAAGGACGAGAGAACGAGAAATGTTCTTGCTCGGTAGATAAATAGAGGTGATAAGTAAGATTTACGTGACCGTCTGATCACCGGTCGGGGGCGGCATATCTGAAGAGACAAACAATATATTCTGCTGAAAAGAAATATTGATACATGAGCGATGGAGCTATTATCGTTGCTGAGAAAAAAAAAATATATATATATATATACATATATATCGTGAGTAGCGACGATGAATAACCCCGCTAGTTGGCTCGATGACATAAGTGGCAATTCGGGTGATAGATCATCATCTCCCTGGCACTTCTTCGCGCGCTTCTACTTTACGTAATAACTTACGTCTCGAGAACTGTTTACCGGTGGTCAGATTTACGATCGAGTATGCATCTTTTTCTGGGTCGTGCCGCGCCGAGTTGCGCGCGTCGACGGCATCGGCAGTGAAATGCATCTGCGAGTAGCACCGAGGGTATACTTCGTCCAATCGAACTCTCATTCTGTTGCGCGGTTGATATTTACGATTACTGTTTTCCGAAGTAGCATCGAGGGAAAATCTTCTTACAACCGGTTGCGACCGCGATAAATAGCCACGTGGACTACACGCGCTCGAGCGTACCGACGTCGGCTCCGATGTCAAATTATTAATTTATAAAAGCGAACCATCGCAGGACCGCGAGAACGGATTCTGTCCCTGTTGCGCGTGCTCGTTTCATGTTCCTTCGTCAGGATGCACTGCGTTGCGGCGCCGTGACGCCGCGCCGTGTGCAACAAACGAGCGCGCACCGTGTTGTTATAAAATTCGACAGAAATTGGCGAAACATGATTAATTAGCGGCTTCCGGTAATGAACGTAGCGTTACGTTGCCGCCGGAATATTGATGGTCCTGCGATTTAATACGACCCAATTAGGAACAGCTATCGTATGACCCCTCGACACATCGCTCCCCTCTTCCTCCCGTTTCTCCTCTTATTCGTACCCACTCTTCGACTATCTCTATCCCCTGCTGCCTCTCAGCTTTCGGACGTGTATCTAATTCTTGCTCCCTCTCTCCCTTCTCCTCTCTCGTTCTATTTCTTTTTCTTCACGCCGCGTCTCTATTCCCAGCATACAACGAAGTTGTTTTTTCAGAAAGCTGCAGCTGCGTGTCATATTTCTCGTTATATCAGATAATAGGTAATATGTTCGTTAATAACAATCTAAAGGTACGGATGACACGTAATTGCCTCTGTTCCTCGAATATTGGCCACTGAACCTTCATCGGGGCTTCCTCTTCGTGTTCCAATAAGTAGCTAGGAACTTGAATGCAGTTTGATATAACGAGCCATCCAACTCCCACGAGAGTCCAGAATTGAGCCGGGCTATCTATTCACCTTCGCGGAAAGATTTCAAATTTGCTCGAAGGAGATCGTAAATCGTATCTACCTGGTGTCGAGAATAAATGAGGACAGATTTCTAGCATCAAATTAAATCTCGTATTAAGAGTACAACAGTAACGAGTAATCCTTTCGATTCGACAATAATTATTTACGCGATCGATTTAATCTAACTTATTTTGCAGTATTTAAAATATGTGTACATGTACGGATATTTCGTTATTAAATATTATTCATATAATATTTTTATAATATTTTACTCGTTATAACATTTTATTCGTTATCGCTATTCTATTTAATATCTTTGTCCCATTATGAATATCGCTTTATCACGTTCATGTTAATTAATTTTCATTCTGTTTCTCATTATCATATTTCGCGGAGACGGTCTCGCGTTCGTTCGAGTATAATTTTAGGCATGGATAATACGGCGAGTCTCGTAGGAACTATTTGCAATTTTGACATCGTTATTTAAAGGAGGATGTCGGAAAATCGCGATTTTTTGACTATGAGTGGAACGTAAAATGTGCATTCTGCATTATCAAGGATATTTTAAATAACATAAAAAAGTGATTATATATTGTGGAAACTAGAGGAACATCAATTGCCAGATCAAAGACGCACATTGTTTAGGATACCGTTGATCGACTTCTGCAAACTCTGTTCACAAAGCAATTCCTCAATTCTAATCCAATAAAACTTTTTACATGTCTTAAGCTCATAAACCCTAAACCTTTAACCCCATACACGTTAATCCTAAACCTAGAAACCCTAAATCCAGAAATTCTATATTTATATATCTCAAAAGCATGAATCATAAGTCCAGAAATCTTTGAATGAATATTTCTAAACATTCTTGCTTTGATAACAGTTTCAGACGTCGTTCTAGGCAACCAAAAATACATTTTGAAGAATGTACTGGAACTGTCGGAAGATCTATTTTAATCGTCGAATTCGGATCACCATATTCGTTTTCAACATTTGATACTCTGTCAAACATCAAAGTAAGACCTTCATTGAATGAGCGCGATGCAAATCTGTAACACTTTTGGCAAGAGTATTTTTTATCTCGCTCATGATAATCGGTACGCTTGAGTTTTTCAAGATGCTTTTTGCAAATTTCACAAATTTTTGACATTTTAATAGTGGTTTACTTTATCGTCCGAATATATTATAATAATGCAAGTAGTGTCATATTCTGAATAAAAGTTGAAGAGAATAGTATTTTACAAAAAGAAATCATGAGCTAATGCTCATTTCCCATAAACACTTGTACATAATATACATTATATATATATATATATATATATATATACTTTCTAAATATTAAAATATAATACATATTAATTCAACATTATAAGAGAAAATAAGTAAGATACAATTGATTTAATTTTAATATATGTGGTAACGTTGTATAAAACAATTTTATCAAATGACTTTGGATTAATTGACAAGCATCTGTTTTTTATAGTAATCAAGTATTGAGTATTGTTTATGAGTTTAGGACATGTGAATTTAAGTTTTATTGGAACAGAATTGAGGTATTGCTTTATGAGCGGAGTTTGCAGGACTGTCGAACAACGGTATCCAGCGCCTAAACAATGTGCGTCTTTGACCTGGCAATTGATGTTCCTCCAGTTTCCAGAATATATAACCACTTTTTATGTTATTTAGAATATCCTTGATAATGCAGAATGCATATTTTACGTTCCACTCATAGTAAAAAAGTCGCGAATTTCCGACATACTCCTTTAGTCATGTTATGGACTATGGTATTGAACCTCTTGAAGGAAATGCATAAGGATATGTTCGTTCATTCAACTTACGGTAATACTCCCTCGACGTCGAAGAAGTGGAAATGAAGGTGAACCCGCTCGTTAAGCTGACCATTGAAGAAGTAGTGGCACTCCGTGTTACGAGGGTACAGCCCGGGGTAATTCGGCGACGCGAATGTACCATTGCGGGTCTCGTTGCTGTTGAAAACAAAGGCACACGGATATTTCTCCTCCTGCCGTCCTGTCGTTATACCAAAGTCTGAAACGGCAAAACGATTCGTAAGTATACTGAAGGGGAACTACAGAGAGAAAGTGTTTCTTTTCATATTCTGATTTAAGTCATGATATATGGCTAAAAAAAATAATTATATATAATTAAAGGTGAATTTCATGTTTCTACGGCTATATATAATTATACGTAATTATATATGTCACGTAAAGAAATACTGTTGTATATATACAATTAATAGCTTATATATATTTGTAAGCGTCCGGGATGTTTAATTATATGACATTATTTTCCCTTTTTTTTGCTTAACAGTGTTTTTTTCATGTAAACGCATGTAATTATATAGAATTATATATATATATATAATTATATAGAAATAAAATGCATACAGAGAGAGAGAGAGAGAGAGAGAGAGAGGGGGAGGGGGGAGAGAGGGGGAGAGGGGGAGAGAGGGGGAGAGAGGGGGAGAGGGGGATAGAGGGGGAGAGAGGGGGAGAGGGGATAGGGGGGGAGAGGGGGAGAGAGAGGGAGAGAGAGGGAGAGAGAGGGAGAGAGAGGGAGAGAGAGGGAGAGAGAGGGAGAGAGAGGGAGAGAGAGGGAGAGAGAGGGAGAGAGAGGGAGAGAGAGGGAGAGAGAGGGAGAGAGAGAGAGAGAGAGAGAGAGAGAGAGAGAGAGAGAGAGAGAGAGAGAGAGAGAGAGAGAAGTCGTATATATTAAGTAATTAAGAAAGTTCGTGCCGTTTCTAGGTTTTGTCAAACTGTACATACATATGCTACCAATATACCATAGTTATATATGCTTGAGCAAAAGTTCACTTAATAGAAAGTTTATCAGTGTATAACATTTATAAAATTGAATTATTTAAAATTTTGCATATATTGAAGTTATATTAAAACGATACAAACTTTCTTAATTATCTTATAATTATATATAATTTAAATATAATTATATATGATTTTGTGTATAATTACACATAATCTATCCATCCATTCTGTTTGGGGATATTGGAGAGAGTGAAACATCCTGCAACCGGCAATTGATCGGTTTTCGGCATTCTTGTGTAAATTTTATCAAATGTTCAGCCGTATTTAATAATTACTCTTTAACTATTTATTATTTATTTATTTATTTACATATTTATTCGTAATCCGCATATATTTTGATATTTAATAAAACCCGCACAAGAGTACTAAAAACTGGCAGTGAGTGCAAAGGACGCCAGTTACTACATGTTTTAGTTTTTTTCGACAAATAATTCAATTATTATAATGCTACAAAATTAATATTTATTGGGAGAGAAGCAAAAGAGTGAAAACAGAGCATGCTTATAGTTTTTATGCGATTAATTCAATTTATAATACATTATGAGCGCAAAGAAGGGTACCACCTCTTATTGTTATTTCTTTTTTCCTTGCGATCGACATTTATCGCACTCACATTACCTCATTACTATAGGGCGTTTATAATTCCCTGAGCGGCTTAATAAATATTGACACATACTAATGGCCAACTGCATAACGTAACGCAAATCACCGGCGGTACCAAACATGACATTGTAATATGCCCGAGAAATATGAATAATATCGGAGTAATTACTAATGTATTATTAATCGACAGCTTCACCGTAGGCGGATTCAAAATCAAATATTGAAGCGGTAGCTTCGATCTATCAGTGCGTATATAAAACCCATGGATGCTGCGTGCAAAGCCCGCGGCACATGATGCTTGCTCCTAGATTGCTGCCAGATTGCTTGCAAGGTGGTTCAGTGACAACAGTGACGTCTGAAAATGCTGCGTGCCACTGTACACGCGTTCGCGCATCGCGATGATCTCCCGTGTGTTTGTGATTCGATGATACTTTCACCATATGAGGTGCGCTGTTAAATGAGCATGCACCAATTAGAAAGATTTATTTTTAGTTCTTCTTCCTTTAGTTCTTTTCGTAAGCATTACTTTTTGTCCCTGCTTAAATTACTGTTACTTTTTTAAAATGAATATTCAGTAAAAATATTTCTGACCGAATTACTAAAAAGAATATTTTACTGGTAATATTGGCCTATGATAAAAAAAGATTTGTCACACATAGATAAAAATATACGATCCATGTAATATCTTTTATGCTAAATTTCAAATTGAATAAAAGTGAAGTTTACGGGGGAGACCCACCTCTGATAATCTTGTGTGTTACATATATTATCAAAGATATTTTCCTGAATAATATTCAATAATATTCAAGGGGTTTTACCGCCGTCGTTTATCGTTTATTAAAAAGTTATTAACGAAAGAAATTTAATAAGTAGAGCCTATTTTTCCGGCAAAATGTATGTTAAAAAAGTTTTACACAGTACATATACTAGGTGCGCAACTAAGTTTCCGGGTTTTACACATGGATGGCGCTAACGACACATGTAGTCGACATACATGTCTGAAGTTGTGTTTTTTTTATAGCTTGGATATCTGTTAATAATAACCAGTCGTAATACCAACACATATCGCAACGCAAAAATATTTTTCCTAACAACGAAGATGTCGAGTTTTGTACCAAATAAACAGCATTTGCGGGAAGCTTTGCTTTTCTGTTTTAACTTGAAAAAAAGTGCAGCTGAAGCACGTCGTTTGCTTGAGAAGGCCTACGGCGAACATGCACCATCGAAAACTACCTGTGAAGATTGGTTTAAACGCTTCAGAAGTGGCGATTTCGACACTGAGGACAAGGAGCGCTCCGGAAGACCAAAAACAATTGAGGACGCCGATCTGCAAGCGTTATTGGATGAAGATGATACGCAAACACAAGATCAACTTGCGGAGGCATTAAACATGACTCGCCAAGGTATTTCCAAACGTTTACATGCCATGGGAAAAATTCAAAAGGAAGGAAAATGGGTGCCGCATGAGTTGACTGAGAGACAGATGGAAAATCGAAGAGCCACTTTCGAAATTTTGCTTTTGCGGCATGAAAGAAAGAGTTTCCTGCATCGAATTGTTACTGGCGATGAGAAGTGGATATATTTCGAGAATTCTAAACGCAAAAAATCGTGGTTTTCACCTGGCGAAGCATCAACATCGACGGCACGGCCAAATCGTTTCGGAAAGAAGACAATGCTCTGCGTTTAGTGGGACCAGAAAGGAATCGTGTACTACGAGCTGTACGTATGAGCTGCTGAAACCGGGCGAAACTGTCAATGAGCATCGCTACCGACAACAACTAATCAATTTGAACCATGCATTGCTCGAAAAACGGTCAGAATGGGACACGAGACACGAACGAGTGTTATTGCAGCACGACAACGCTCCGTGCCATCGCACTTCCATCGTCCAGGACACCATCAAAACGCTAAAATGGGATCTGCTACCGCACCCGCCGTATTTGCCAGACCTGGCCCCTTCCGATTATCACTTGTTCTGGTCGATGGCGCATGGCTTGGCTGGGCAACACTTGGCCAATTTCGAAGAAGTGCAAAATTGGTTGGATGAATGGTTTCGGTCCAAAGACTCGTCGTTTTATCGTCGCGGTATTCATGTATTGCCAGAGAGATGGCAAAAATGTGTAGCTAGCGAGGGACGATACTTTGAATAAACCATTTTTTGTATTTCTCTTGAAATTTTCCATTTTTCATTGATCAAAAAAATTCGGAAACTTAGTTACGCACCTAGTAAACGAGGGAGAGGCAGAGCCTCTGCACTCCTCTCTGGAAAAAGACCTAACCTAATCTAATCTAATCCATCCTGTATATTTTTGTACAAAGTTTTTCAATCAAATATTTTAATGGGACAACTTTTCAACAACGCTCAACTATATGCAAAGATGTATAAATTGGATTAGGTTAGGTTTTTCAGGAAGGGAGTGTAAGAAAGGGATCCGTCTCTTTTACTCATATATTATATATTGTTTGTTATTTTTTAATGTCGGAAAAATAAGCTTCGTTTATGAAATTTCTTTTGTTAGTAACTTCTTTTTTGTTAGTAATTTCTTTTGTTAGTAACTTTTTAATAAACAATATACGACTAAAACTTCTTGAATGTTATTCAGGAAGGTACTTTTGATATATGTAACGTACAAAATTATCTCGGAGGTGGTTTCCTAAATTTCACTTTTACCTTAAATTGCAGCCCATATAGCACAAACAATTGCAGCAATATTGTTACAATGTTGCAACATTGCACATTATAGTGCAATATTGCAGAGACATTGCGAAAATAGTATTTTGCATTATTATATCTGCAATGTTGTAGCAACATTTCAAATTGCGGTTATTATTAAAAAATTATATGAGATATCGCTAAATGAAAGAGGACATTTTCGTTCCTCTCGCTTAGCTCTACGCCCCTATGGAGTTGGTATGTTACAATTATGGGACACTTTGTATATTGCTCTAATTCTCATATTTAATCACCAATTATATTTAATCACCACGATTTGGTTTTACAATGATTTAGTCTCATATCCCAAACTTAGACATCTTATTAATTCAAGAATAGTTACCGCAAGTCTTTAAAACCTGTGTTATTCAAAATAGCAAGGTGACATCTTATTGACGTTCTATTGAGTCAATAAAGCGTCCTTTTAAGATATCATTTTACTCTTTGAAATATTACAGATCTTGGGGACTTTCTGTGACTATATTTTTGCTCAAAATGCTTCGTTGAAGAATGATCGAGATGCGTTTTTTAGAATGAAACACTCTGTATAAGCCTCCGGGAAAAATAAAGTTCCTCAAAAGACAAAATATCTCCGCTAAACATATTAAAAATTTATAATAAAATCCCTTCTACATGTGGTAAAGTTTACATAGGAGAAACTGGGAAGATAGTAAATGTATATAAAGGAACATTAATTTGTAGTCGTACTGAAACATTTAACATAATTTGCAGTAGCAGAACATCACATAAAAACAGGACATAATATTTTATTTGATTAATTTTTAATTTTAGCCAAAATAAACGGCGACTTCCTTTGAAACAAAGGGAACTAATAGAAAAGTCCTAAAAATTTTTCAAACACCTCTATAATCTAAACAGAAACAGTAGCA